TTCCGCTTATGTCTACGCAATCCTCGGACATCTTCGCACCCATCATCTAAAATCTTGTTCAAATAGACCAAATACATTCCGGTAGATGTTCCTTCCCATCTAATAAATTCGTCACTTCAATCTGACTAGAACGCCCCTCAAATTTTCTCCATTCTGTTAGGGTCTGCGGTTCCAGGCACGGCACACCATCTTTGTATGCACCTTGCACAAATGCAAGCTTTTGATTAATTGCACTCAACTACAATACATTCAACGACTAGAGAATCAACGATCTCTCATGAAGTGCAAAGCCACGCCAATAGGACCGTCAACAGCCTCTGGTGTCTCTGCAAAACTGAATGAGCTAATCCAAACATCACTGTCCCAATGGATTAAATCACTCGCAGTTGACCGTGCAGCTGAGTCTTCCGGTCCCAGCCCACCAGGTTCGCAATTCGAGTCCTGACAGGGAAACAAAACGTGCGTGTATTGCTGACACGTCCAACATAGCACGGAGGAACAACTGTCCGTCTCGGTTATCACAAATATTTTCATCGCATACAGAATTCATTATCTACTTGGCCTGTCCTGTTATGAACAACTGGAATATCCAAACACGTCCGTCTCTGATTAGTTGCATCGCATCTAACTTGTCATACCAGTGATTCAATTGGTCCAAGTGAAATTGAACCCAATGGAAAATTGTAAAAGTTCATTCTGAACAAACAGAAAAAAACAGGTGATAATTGAAATTGACTGAACGATACACCATTTGTCGCAGGGGTTATGACAAACAAACTGTAGGATTGTGAAAGATTCCAACGGAGTCATAACCCCGGAGGCTAGTGCTCAAAAGCGTGATACTCGCATCCAAGCTCGCGAAATTCGGTTGTGCTATGTATCGCTTAAATGGAAAATGATAAACAATCTGATCATCTGTCCACCGGTAGTCGAGTGAGTTGAATGTCTGCTTTGGGCCTGTGAGGTCTCCGGTTCGATGCACAGTTGGGTCGATGGAGTCACGCTCGGCTAATGAGACCCAATCAGGTCAGAACAGCCATCCAGTATTGCTTCTCAGCTTTTCAGTTCACGGTTCATTTGCTCTATACACAAGACAAATTCCTTTATCAAACAGGAAACGTTTAAACATGTGATTTGTCTAGCCAAAACAACGAAACCTAAGTGATCCATGAAGCCCGAGCCAGCAGTTCAGGTAATCTGATCAATTGAAAGGAAGAGGATTGATTTAGGGGTACCAGACAGTCTTGATGGTCTTGGATGTGGGTTTCACTGTTATTGCACAATACGTGTGGTCACAACATGTCTGGCACTTTTGCTCCGAGCTTTGAATGTGCAACGTGCACAGGGCATGGTGAAACGAAGTCATTCGGTTCCGTTTCAAGTTTACCTGATTTAGTTGAACTAGCAAACAATCGTTAGAAACTTAATGTTTGGATTAGCCCATTCGGTTTTTCAATGGTAAGAGTTTGAAGTCCTAGCCCGAATAATCGCGATTCGAGTCCTGACATGGGGACAAAAAAGGTTTGTGTACAGCTAACGAGTCCTAAACAGGAAAAACAGGTTGTCCAGTATTCTTTGTCGGCTATCACAAACATTTCTGACAGACGATGTACTACTTACTGTGCGGACAGCATATCGTATGATTTTACTTCAATCTCGACAAATCGAACATCATGGTGAGCATTGCCAGCGTGACCACAAAATGTTCATGGTGCATACCTGATATACTTCTCAACCAGTTGAAAATGAATAGACAAGTGTAGTGAAAACGTTTATACAACCTCTTTCGAGAGGTGCGCTGCTCTTCAAACAGATAATTGCCTAGCAACATCAAAAAAACAACAAGAGGCAATTAAGTGGTTGGTTTATTTTATGGGTTTTTTATCTACCCGTTTCCTGTTTGGTCCTTTTCCTGAATGTACTCATCATAATTTGGTGGTATGTAACGAAAAAGAAAATGTACACAGACTGAAATGTTTTGTCTGTCACTAAACTATGCACCCAGAATTCGAAACTCTGCCCCGTTTGATTATTGGTCACGTGACCAACTGCATTTCTCTGCCCTCTCCCACCCCCAAAAGCCCCATCCTGTCGTTGACCCCTATCCATCAGTGACTCTTTGCTCAGCACGACTTCTCGTGTTTCTACATCGATGTTCACCCGACTTTTATGCATCGCTTGCTAATTAATTCACCTCATCCCGGACTATGGTAACGTTTATCTTTGCCCTGTCTTTGATCGACAAGTCGCAATGGTCCGAAGTAGGTTACTTTTATCTGATAAGGTATGGGGTCCCATATACATACGTGCCCTATTTACGTGGATACATTTTTGTCTATTGATTGGCCTGACGAACGGCTTTGATTGTTGGTCATTTTGCTCCGCGTGATTCGCAACTTGCTCTTTTGTTGCAAATTTTTCATTTGGGTTTATCCATAGAGTACATAGAACCACAATTTGGTAACAAATCCAGTTAACTGTTCTCATCTGGTTTTGCTTTCACCTTGTGCGAATGAGGGCTTCACTCCTTGGGAGATGGTAAATTCCCCACTAGTTGAATGCATTTAAGTGCGGTGGAAATGTTTGTTGGAAATGTTTGAACCAGTCGAAAAAGGTGATGACCGTCGACTGTGTAGATCAAGCGTAAGGGTTTAAAGTCCCGGAAAAGCAGAGCGGTATACTACCGAGCGAGTCCCCAGGTGGCGGATAGGGGAACGACCGTCATCTCACGGCTAACCGTGAATAAGGTGGGTTTAGACTCTCCGAATAAAGGGTCGCGGACGATCAGCTGTAGCCCTGGTTGATGTGTTAGGTTTACTTCTTGGCAAGAGTACTCCGCACATATGTGGACATCTGTGGACAGCGCTGTGACGTGGCGAGTGTGGCCTGGCACTAAATACAGTTATCGCCCCTTGTCAAAATCTATTGTTCGGCAATGTTCCAGAAAAAGGAAATGAACAAAATACTGGCCTCCAGCTCATGTGGAATATTGCTGCTGCCATGCAGTCCGCACTTGGTTGCGCAAAGGCTAGAGTGCACCCTCGAACAAGACCTATTCTGGACCGGGCGACCGAGTAGTACGACAGCCCACAACGCCAGCAACTATGAACTCTTCGACTTCTATGTGCATCCAGTTTACAATTTTTGCAACCAGAGACAAATACTCCACACCGTACATACACACTCATGTCCTCCCAGCCCTCCCCCATCCCACATCCACTCCCTTAACTCACTTCCTCTCTCGGAGTCTTCAGGCGATCGTGCAAACACTAGTGCCTCAGATGGAAATTCTGCCGCTGTTCCCTCATGTCTTACCTCGACTATCATCCAAATCTCACCGAATCCTCCACCAACTGAAGCCCTTCTTCGCCTTCGATGCCCATTCAAACTAGCCACATTTAATGTGTGCACTCTGATGCGTATAGGACAACAGGCCGGTTTAGATCGTACGCTCGAGACCCTAGCCATCGATGTGTGTTGTATCGAAGAAAACTCGCATTCTAGACTCTTGTTTCATTATTCGATTGATGTCAATCCACATCAAACCGATCAGTGAAGTTTCACTTGCGCCTCTCTGGGG